CAGGCTGACAGGGACCATTTAAATTATTTGCAATATGGATTTTTGGCAGGTGATCATCTTCTTCAAAGCCAACGACAGTCAGACTTGTGTTTGCTCGAGGAATTTTACTCTCGTCAGGCCTCTCAAACTGCACTTACGAGCGCCATGTGATGACGATATTAAAAAACAGGATTACGCTGATCCACAGATATCCACTTTGTAGTTTGACGTGCAAAACTCGACTCCAGCCAGAGCTCTGAGAGAGCATTAAGTCCTGGGTTTTATCTTCAGCGTCCTGTAATTAATCATTAGTTTATTCATGGCTGTCCAACTCCAATGTCTGATTGCCATTTCTAAAACGACTTTATATAACGAACCAGATATGCGGGTACAATCACATGACAATACAAATATTTGGTTTCAGAAGGACTGATCAATTGATCAAAGTTTTGTACTTTAAATATGTCTAGGTAGCTTGTTAAGTTCACAAAGGAATCAATACAATTGTAACTTAAACTATAATAATACATGAGAATTCTTTGTTGATGAATCAATAATCTATATCTTCAAAGTAGCTGTCCGATAACTATGAAGATGCTCAAGTATATATATCTTAAAAACGAGTCTAAATACAGAACTTATGTTTTTGTTTTGAGTGTGTTTGAATAATGTCCACCCCCGATGGCTATAGAATAATAACACCATCAGCGTTTTGATTGGTTCCCTATAAGTTTTGCTTTAAATGTGCCACCAGTATGAACATGCCCCATTTACATCTTTGTTCAACAGGAAGTGAAAAGCACAGATAGAAGAGATATTCCTACATACCAAAGAATGTTGAGCTCTCTACAGTATTAGGCATTGACCGATGACAGAAAAAACTAAGTCATCTTGGAAAACAAAATGAACTGTGTTCTGTTTTGTTGCTGTTTGAGATTTTGTTTGTTTCCGTAGCGCCGACAATAACGAGAAAAAGTTGAAAACTTTCCACTTTAACAATGCTCAGACTTGTATCCTCCATTAATGAATGAGCTGAACACTTCATTTAGAAGTTATCTTGTACTCGCTGTCAATGAATGTTTATCATGTCGTGCTGTTTTCGCTTTTTCGTTGTTTGTGTTCTTTGTGGGGCGAGGAGTCACTTCAGCGACTGCTCGTCAGCTAATGAGGATCCAAACAAAACCCCGAGAAGGAAACGGAGAAGTTGTAAAGGCTTGAAGCTGGGGCCGTGGAACTTTTTCCTCCCTCCAACAAACTAATTTAAATCCAAACTGCTGTATCGAGAAAAAAGGAAAAAAGAACCGCTGGGTCACCACTGGGGTATCAGAGTGGGCTCATTTGCCCCAAATGGCCGAGATCCTTTTCAAACAACAACAACAGTCGCTAATTTAAAATAAACACACCGAGGGGGCTACAGTTTCCCTGACACCGGAGAAATTATCGTCTCAGTTGTAACGGTGAGCACGGCGAGGGGGCCATTGAGGGTCCCTGGAGTTGAGATGAGGCCACGCAGCTTACTTAACTACGAAAAACAACAAGAGTGCTCAAAGCCGGTGGGTAACAAGGCCAGTAAGAGCCCAATAAAATGCTACATTTCCTCTCAAAACACCTTGCAGCAAAAAAGGAAGCATGTGGAGAGATTTGCATTCAAAGGAGAAACAATAAAAGGCAAGGTAGGTGTTTTTTGTATCTCCTGGAGAAGTGGCGGTGAGTGATACTCTTCACTCATCAGGAACAAAAACAACTCATTTCAAGGGCAGGGACGATGGAGCAGGAGCTGCAGGACAAGAGTTGGAACTTTGGACCTTTTTCTCTCCGTAGAAGCAGCAGAGAGTGAGGAGAGACTGGTGGGAAGAGGAGTCATCCCAAGGCTAAGAACACACACACACACACACACGATAGATCATGATAAGTGTGTTGGTGTGCAAAAATGAGTGAATTTGGGTCTTTGCAGAACGCTGTCTCTAGGCTTTCATAAGCTCATATGACTGAGTCAGAAGCCAGAGAGGGGGGAAAACAGAAAGAGACTAAAAACAGAACGCAGACCGAGTGTGTGTGGGTGCAGAAAGGTGAAAGAAACATCTCACCACAAATCATTTAATTTAAAAAATATGACCTGAATAGCTTGTCAGCATTTTGAATTTGTGTCACCTCGTCTGCCTCTCGCTTTATTAAAGCTTCACTTGCGAGGAATCTCGGTTATTATAAATAGTATAGTGTTAAAAAATATTAATCAGAAGCCACTCCTGCAAATATAGTTACAACAATGTTGGCTAGGTATTTTTCAAGTGGACAAAAGTTGAAAGAAATATCATGAATGTGTCTACTCTTGCAATATTTCTCAACTAAATAAGAAAACATTCCTTTAATAACTGGACTCTAAGCTTTTCTATTGGGCTTAAATTCAGAGTAACATCATTATTATAAGCATTTATAGACTTCAGCTCGCTTTATGCCCAAAAATGTATTGTACTATCAACAAATATTAACTGACTAAGCGCTATTTAATGGATAAGACTGATATTTTTAAGCCTTATAACACTGAACAGCATGTGGAAGTTCTTCATTAATTATGTTCAGGATTCAACAGATGATCAAGCCATTGACTCATTCCTTTAAGACAAGGCAGTTCCAGAGTTTTTATTTAACATTTTTTTTTAAATATATTTTGGACTACTTGCAATGAACGCACTACGTTTTGTGGTAACCAGGGTTTTGTCTAAACCGGGTAACAGGGGCGCCCGTAAATGTTCAAGTGATGCCAGAAAACAATATTTCTGTTCGTCAAAAACGGTATGATTACTCCAAAAATATGAAAATCGTGTCGAATAGACCGTCAGACGGTAAAGACAGGTTTGTTTTTGCGGAGCACCGTGTAAGCCGTAACAGGCTTAAACACTTAAACTGTGATTTCTGAATTAGATTGTTTCTTCAACTGTCCTTTTTTCTGTAGAGGAAGTAAAGACACCACAACTTTATTTGTTGTTTGAGGTGCAATGTATGACTCAGCAGCTTTAAGACATGAATAAACTATAATTTTCCAATTCGCTCTATTGCATTATTTTCATTTGAAAGTGGGCGGGGCCGTCATTTTGGCCGGAAGTGACGTTAGCGCCCTCATACTATACAGTATGTTTCCAGAAAAACCCCTGGGTAACCATTCATTTAAACACGATCATTATACACATGTGTAAGCATTTAAAGACCGCAGCCTATTTTATGTCAAACATGTATTACACTGCGGAAAAATATGAAAAGACTGAGCGGTATTCAAAGGAATATAAAGATAAAGCCTTTCATGACTTATATTCTGAAGGCTGCAGAGCATATCTTTGAGAATATATTGACGTCCTTCGATTATTATGTTCAGGATTGAAAAAGTCATGCCTGTTTAAAAAGGGAGGTGTTAGTTTGTGTGTTTTCAATATACTATACTATTTATTTTGCATGTAGTGAAATGAGCATGCTTCTTTTTGTATAGATCGGCATTTTGAAAACAGGAAAACAGGGATGTTCAAAGACATTTCAGCTGCTCTAACCTGAAGAAGGGCCCCAACTGTTTAAATAATAAAAGTCTGAGCCCCCTCTGCAATGTTAGCTGAAATAAACGTGTCAACACAAAGTCAATCAATACACAAATCATTTATGGGAATCATTCGTTCCCATGAATCCCTAATTCAATTGCATTCTTTTGGCAGAGTGTTTGTTCACTTCAAACCCGCTGAATCATGTTCGGTTTCCTGTGACACTGGAACTTCTCTTGAAATTTGCTTTACGGTGGGATGGAAGCGAGCGTCGTCTTCTCGTTCCCTCTCTTTGCTTTCCTCCCACTCCCCGTGTCTCATCAGGAGTGTCATCAGCCCCCCCCCCCCCCCCCCCCCCCCCCCCCCCGGGTTGATGCCTGTTAATATGGCAGCGCGATTGTCTGCCTGTTCGCTGCTGCTGTCTCTATTGTTTGCTCTCACACTTGACAAATTCATCAAAGGCAAAAGAGAAAAAAGGAACGGGGGAAAATAGCTACAAATCATGCCGCTTCGCACAATTGACTGTGTAAGTCTGGCGGGGCGAGTCTTTGTCTTCAAATGGTGCACGAAATGTGAGTTTGCTTCTGTAAATGTGCACATATTTCATTTGTTCAGCTAGTTACTGGGTGGGACGGCCCACTCAGACGCTGGGTTCATGGAAGAGTGTCATTGTGAGTGAGTTTCTATATGTTTCTCTGAATCCATTCAAATCATTTACTTACGTAAGCTAGCAACAATAAAGTAGAGCATATACCATCGCAATTCACAAGAAAAAAAGGAAAGAAAACATATATGTATACGGTAAATATATAGAAATATTGATACAAAAGGAGAAAACAACAAGAAGAAAACAAATGGAGTAAACCCATGTTATGTTAAGATTAGGAAAAGGAATGGAAAGAAATGAAATATAGAAAGTGTAGGAATAGGTAAGAAAGGTAAGGGGCAAGGAAGGTGAGACGAAGTAAGAAAAGAATAAGAAAACAAAGATGAGAAAGAAATTGAATAGAGGTATAGAGGAAGAAAGACTGAAAAGAAAGAGGTTAAGGAAGGAAGAAAAAGCATTATGAAGAAAAAGGATGTATACAAATCTAGGAATGAAAGAATGTAGAGGATAAAGTACAGGAATACAGGAAAGTAGCAGGGGAAGTGAGACAAAGTAAGAAAAGGTTAAAGGAACAAAGAAAGACAAATAAATGGAGACAAGGAGGAAGTTAAGAAGAATGTTGAAGGAGAGAAAAGAAAAGAATTTGGGAAGAAAGACAGAAGTAAAGGAAATACAAAGAGGAAAGGAGAAATACAGAAAAGCAGGGCAGAGAAGGGAAAATAAAACAAAGGCAGAAACTCATAATAAAATAAAATGAGAGGGACTAAAAGCAAATCTAGAATCATAAAATCTGATCTCCAACAGGCTTCAGATCAGTGCAGTCATGTAAAACACCTGAAATGAAATGATTCAGTAAGTACAAGAGAGAAAGGGACAGTCCGCGTGTGTACCTTTGCTCTGTGGAGGGTTCTGGCTGCGGTCTCGGAGGATGTTGATCTGGTAGACGGCTCCGTACGGCTCGAACAGCTCCTTCAGCTCCTTCTCCGACCAGGAGCGCGGGATCTGACCCACGAACATCTTGATGGCGTCCGGGTCGGGCTGGTCCGAGTGCTCCAGCGCGCCGTTCATCTTACCGGCCGTGCCGTTACTGCGGAGACAGAAGGGATAGGGTTATTATACCAATTATATTATTATACCAATCACACTGATTTTTCCATTGAATTGTATTAAGTCTTATTTTATTCTGTGCTGTGTTTATGGATTTATGTTTGTATTAAGTGTTTTTATTGATCACCAAGTTATATTTTGCTTTGTTTATCACCTGGTAAAGGAGGGTTAGTGTTGTTTATACGGTTTGTGAAGCACTTTGTGTTACCTTTCTGTATACAATATTTTATATAAATAACGTTTTATTTGATTAGATTTGTTGATTGTTCCCTAAGACTTTGTTTTTTTAGAACTTTTGCTAGTCCCTATAAATCTAAGGCTATATTTGCAACTGTTGTGTCCCTTTTAACACATTGAGAAACATAACATAACTAATAGTCTAGTGTTGTATTGTTGTTAAATCTTTACAAACATCAATGATACAACCTTGAATATCCTTTAACGTTTGAGTTTCATATTCACAATGTTACATTTTCACTAAGAAAAAGGTTTGGTTTTTAATGCATATGACAATCCAAAGGGGTTTTCTTTTGTATCCAATTGTAATCTTTCTTTTTCCATGGACAGAGACATATAGTGTGTTGAGGAAAGAAAAATACCTAAGAATTGCCATCATCTAAGCCAAAATAACAAAAAGCAATATCCAGACAGAAACATTTACACACTATAAAGCCAACGTTAAATTCTCTTTTCCAAACTTTCGTGTGACCTTAACTAAATATTCCCTTAAGAGAGGACCCCAATGTCTAATTGAAATGTAATATATGACCTTCAGCACTTCCTTTTTATAACACAGCGGCCTCTAAAACAGCCTTCGGGCCATCGCAGGAACACTGAAACTAATAGAAAATCTCTCCTTACAGCAGAGCGAGGCAGCTTTCAATGCCGGTTTTACAGACAGATATCCCTGAAGCTGGCAATTTCTCTATAAACTGGCGCGACACATCAGGAAACTGACATCACACTGACCCTAAAAGTGGATTTTTTTTTATAGTGAAGATTCGGGGACGGATCTCTATTCCTGGCATTTTACAGCACCACGACAAAATACATCTATAGGATTTCCCCCACGGTTCACATGAGATCTGCAGTTGTGGCGAAGATCAGAGACACTTTATGAATGTATGCAGGCCTGCTGCCGGCCGTGGTGCATGTGTGAATGTTTGTGCATGCATGAATGAGTGCTGGATAAGCAGCGCGTTAGCGTTGAGGTTGCACTTGAGGGATTAGGCAGAAAAACCAGTACAGTAACCTCCAGGCCCTCTAACAGGACACAGATGCTTACAGGCAAAATCGCTCCAGTAACATTTCCACATCTGGAATGCATATGGAATGGAGGTGAAGTGCGTCCACCCTTTACACCGCAGAGCTACAACACTCACAGTATCTCCACAAAACACACGCGTCTGTCCACGCGTGTGGAAAGCTAACTGGAGCTACGGCGAATACATTCTTTCAACATCCAGGCCCTACGGAGATGAGAACAGCACACGTGCATGCATGAGGCAAAGCGTGACTGTGTTTTCAGCACAATCAAGTGGTTACAAACACACACACACACTCACACATCACAGCCATCAAGGCCTGTGGTCTATTTAAGATGGCTGAAAACCAATCCAATGAAACCAAAGTCGATGGCTGTGCTGTTTTATTGCTCTACTTTCCCTTTTGTTATTCTCGGCAGGAGAGTGAAAGAGCATTATCTTAAGAGGCAAAAACAAAACAAAGCCAAATCCCGAGCTTGGTTAGCTGACAACACTAATGCCGCCCTATAAAGCTCAGCAAGAGAGAAAGAAAGGAGGGAGGGGGGAGAGAGATATGGAGAGAGAGGGGGGGAAAAAAACATCCAGACCTTTGAGAGCGAGCCATCCATCTTTTGCAGAAAGAGCCAAGGCGCTCGGCAGAAACGCCCAATTCTTTAAAGGACTTAAAGGACATGTCAAATAAAATGCCAGAACCGGAGAAGGAGTCAACGAGCCACACCAGTGCTAACAGTCCTCGAGGGCAACCACCGCTCCTCGCTAAGCTGTCCGATAAATCGCGGGGGGGGGGCCCCGACGCCGTGGGAGCCCCGAGGGTGGAGGAAAGAGGGGAGAAAGGGAGGGAAGGGTAGCGAGGAGTTACTGTCCCTATCTCCCTGATGTTTAGGCACATAAACGCTAAGACGGCCGCATTAGACGAGCCTCAGCGGTCGCAGGGTTTAGACTGCAGCCTTCGCCCTCTGACACACACACACACACACACACACAGCTAAAAGAATAACTGGAGACAATCCCTCATTGTTGGCTGTTTATGTGAGGCCTGTGGGCATTGAACGAGTCCACGGTGGAGGCGGTACAATAGCCAGTGTCAGAGGAACACTGTCCACCATTCACTCTTGCCTGTAAGACAACAAGGCAGCCATAAGGCGTACAAACGCAGAACTGTCTTAGTGTAGATTGCACCCTCCGTCTTTCCCTCAGGTGGTTGGAAGTCGGTGACTCTCCTCACTACAAAGGAATGAAGCGCTTCTTCCATGCCCCCTTGGCCAAGACTGACAAGGTGTTATTGCGAGCAGACAGAGCTCTGCCGTGTGTGTGCGTAGATGTTTGTGTGACTCTGTGAAGCTCAGCAGGAGAGTGTCCTGAGGCTTGGATTAAGTCGTTGAGTGGATCCACTCCTGCCACAGCCTCTCCATCTCCCTCCCCTCTTCTTTTCTCTCTCCCCCCTCTCAATTTGAGCCAATTGTTTGCCTTAATGGCTTAACTATTGCTTCCATCACTCCAGTCTCCCTGCAGCAGAGGGCCGTGACTGAGGGTTGATCCACACCGGGCGCGTGTACATGTGTGTGTGCTGCACAGAAAAACATCAGTATGGGTCTTGGAAGCAGCTGCTGAGAGCTGTTATTCCCTCGTGTAGCTCTCACATTAGACAACAGGCTCGTTCATCCAAACTACAGCTGCTGATATTGACTATAAAAGCTTACAACGGTTATTTATTTTTTCATTCATCATACTTATTTAACATTCACGGCTTTGGATGTTTGTTGGAATGGCACAACAGCAATGGGACAGGTTTTGTTTTGAGAACACTGTTTTATCTTGCAGTGCCAACACTTCTAAATACTATAAAATACTTTCCAAAGCAGTAGATGCAAACTTATTCAGGCCTATAGAGGCTAATTAGTGTCTTTTGTACCAGCATTGAGTTATTTTCAATGCAAAGATGCACTGCTAAGTATAATAAACTGTCATCCTCAACACTAGTTTCCCAGTCTTCTTTGTTGTGCACATTAGGGTTGTAACAAGGTTTTATGTTCATTATCTGCACTGTAATTTTGTTTGTATACTAATGAAAAAATTCCAAGGTGATATGTCTTGTTTTGTCAGTCCAAACCCCAAAGATATTGCATTTATTATGACGTAAAGCATAGAAAAGCAGTTTATAGAATGCAATTGTTCAACATTCTCAGGTGGGTAGAACTTATTTGGCTGTCAATGAACGTCTCATGAATCTTAGTGGGATTTTGCGGATTTACATTTATAAGAGAGAAAATAAGAAATAATTCATACCAAGGAGCTAAAAGATGCTAACACAACTGAAGAGAACCGCTGAGTCGTGTGAAAAACTCCAGTTTGTCACAACAAGCCACACTTTCGAAATCAGAAGTAGGTATGTGAAAAACACTAGGATAAAATAAGCCAGATAGAAATGGGCCGCAAAAAAGGAGGACTAGCGAGGAAGGTAAGAATGGGACTTAAAGAAAGGGAGAAAGGGGGGGTGACGGATGCAGATGAGTCAGGTCCAGCAGTAAGCGCAGCTCAGAGCTTAGCAGGAGCTCTACCAGAAACCAGGCCCACGTACACACAAGCACACACACATATGACAGATGCACACACACACATATAATACGTAGCACACAGTCAGGCTACAGTTAAGGCTGGCTGCGTTGATCCCCCTGCTGTTTTTCCCTTCTGTTTCTGCTCTAAAACACACAGCCTCTGTGAGTCCCCTAACCCCACAATCGAAGCGCACACACACACACACACACACACACCCTCAGTGGGTTCGTGCAGGGGCCGCACCGTCACACACTTCTTCTCATTTGAAGCGTGTTTGCAAGGTGTGTAACGGTCCCACAGGGGAACTAATCTTGTTGACAAGCAGAGTGAGAAACATCAGTTCCTCCCCGAGGGAGCAGGGCAGCCAAGGTCAGTGAAACACACACACAAACTTAAACACACAAACACACGCATATGTACTGAAATGTTAACACACATGCGCAGACCTGGACAGTCACATCTCCTCTCTCTAAGACAGATTCTTATACAACTTTCACACAAAATGTCTGAATATCAAAGTCTTGATATCAAGGTCTGATTCAAAATTATAACAAAGAGCAAATGAATCATGAATCAAAACAATTTTTAATATTTTTCTGTATTTTCTGACATTTTATATATATATATATATATAAAATGGGTATTCCATTAAACTAGAAAATAATCAAAATATACTTGAAAATAAAAACATTTGAAATATGGCATGGTGTTTAATCCTATCCTTTTAGAGTTATTTTTTGTAAGACTTTCCTAATATGGGATTATTATTATTATTAGGGGTTCAAAATAGGAGGAACAATTCAGCCAAAGAATACATTTCCGACTTGTTCAATGACTTGTGTTTACATATTGGATAGTTTTACCTCTTGACTGGCTGACATGGGATATTGAGTTGACAATTTGTTTTGCCTTCATGTGGTTTAAGACATGAGACCACCGTTGCTGTGAAGACAGACTGTGAAGAAACTATTTTTCAAAATAATTATGAATGATTTTGGGTCTGAATTTTCTGCCTTTTTGGCGTATTATGTGTCTTTTTGTGGCCATTTTACACATCTTCTCTTAAAGGAACACTTGGTAGGCCAAGACAAGTGGGGCGCTCTGAAACTTTGGGCCCCTGGGATAATTCTCAGTGAAATGTCAGTAATCCATCCATGGC